TTGTTTCCCAGGCAGGAAGCGATGGTCAGAGCATCGGCAACTGTCCTTTCTCTCAGCGTCTCTTTATGGTGCTGTGGCTTAAGGGAGTCACCTTTGACGTTACCACAGTGGATATGAAGAGGTGAAAGCACTCGTCCTTCACGCTCTGTATGGCCACTTTTGTTTATTCTGTCTCTCTCACTAATGCTGGCGCAACAAGGGAACATTCGCCTACACTTTTAATGTTTTAATGGCCCCAAGTGAAGCTGGCACTGAAAAAGCCTGGGGTATTTCATTCATTCACTAAAAGATAAAAAGCTGCCACGCTTTGATTTTAGGTGAAAGTTGGACACATTGTAGCTGCTCACATGGGTAATTTCCTGCGGTTGGAAATCTTTCCACTCCTTTTTTTCCCTTTTTTGTCTTTCTCTGTTCTGACTCACTCTCTTCTCCATCTGTCTTCTGGACTTTTTCCGTCCCGCTTTCAGGAAGCCAGACATCTTGAAGGACCTGGCACCGGGTGCTCAGCCTCCCTTCCTGTTATACGGCAGCGAGGTGAAAACTGACACCAACAAGATTGAGGAGTTCCTGGAAGAGCATCTCTGCCCTCCAAAGTAATCTTTCCCTTCATCTCTGAAGTGCTGATACAGATAACACAAACTGTCTTGTTTGATCTGATAATGATCTGAATATTGCAACTTTGTTGGGCACAAAGAGATGTCTCTGGAGGCTTTGAGCACAGATTGATTGTTTAGAATTTTGCAGGAAAAAGGCAACATTTTGTAGACAAGTTGAAAAAGTAGGCCCTGCACGCCAACTCCAAACCACAAGATTTAAATCTGAATCTTTGTAAGATTAAACTATCGAATTCTACATTTTTGCAGGTGTTTCCGTTGTAGATACAGCAATGAATAGATTAATGATAACGAAATAAACCGTTGGCTGCAAATGCATTTGTTGACTTCTTGCACATCAACACGAATCGCTTGAAGATTTATATCTTGATGTGATCTATGATGTGATTGGACATCTAGGTATCCTCGTCTGGCTGCTCGTAACCCAGAGTCCAACACGGCAGGCCTGGACGTCTTCTCCAAGTTCTCTGCCTACGTCAAGAACTCAAACCCTCAGACCAATGAAAGTAAGTCGGCTCCACTCAGACTTATGGTGCAATAAAGTAAATGTTAGAGTAGTGCCTGGTTTAAAATCGTGCTGAGCTGCTTCTGTCAGTTCCCAGATGGGCTAAAAATCAGCAGGGAGCTTCTGTTAATAACATTAGGCTCTGAGTGTAAACACGTCACCTGCTGATGTTTGTGTGCAGCTTTTCCTACCTCGTCTCTGCTGCTGGTTTAAATATATTTATATCAAGACACCTCTCTTTATACTTAATGCTTGAGTGTTTTCTGTGTGTGCCCATGTGCTCAGATCTAGAGAAAGGCCTCCTGAAGGCTCTGAAGAAGCTAGACGACTACCTCGGCTCCCCACTTCCTGATGAGATCGACGAGAATAGCGCCGATGAGCTCACTTCCTCGTCACGCCCTTTCCTGGATGGCCAGGCGCTCACTCTGGCTGATTGCAACCTGCTGCCTAAGCTCCACATCGTGAAGGTGATCTTGTGATTTTTAAAGCAGTGCAGCATGAGGATGATGGGTTATAAGAATGAGTCAATGCTTTGCTTTGTTTTTTTGTAATTATGCCTATTTTTTCCCACCCTCTATCTCTGCAGGTGGTGTGCTTGAAATACAGACAATTCACCATCCCTCAGAGTCTGACAAACCTCTGGAGGTACCTGAACGCCGCCTATGCAAGGGAGGAGTTCTCTTCCACCTGCCCGGTTGACGAGGAGATCTACTTCGCCTACTCCTCTGTAGCTAAAGCTCTCAAGTAGGGATAGAACAGGGGGTTACATGTTCTGAATATACCAGCAGAGCAACATAGGAAAGCACAAAATACACACACACACACACTCATGAATATTCACTCTGCAAGCAGCATGGTCGATCCTTTTCTTTGTAAACTGGAGCGCTGCAGGAATCTTTTGTTACGCCTGCAGGTTAATTTTTTGCACCCTTATACGCCAGTATCACCTTTCGCAGTGTTGGCGCTAGTTTACATTGTTTTTCCTCACCTGAAACTGGGTCGGTTTACATCAGCAAGGGAAACAAGGAAGCTCGGGAAAGCGCAAGTGAAAGCAATTACATGCAAGTAGTGCAACTTTTAACCCCGTTAAACTTCCTCCTCCGATTGGTTCTTTCACGGGTCACGTTCTCCGGTTGCCGACCACGTTGCTCGCAGGAGCGCACATCCACATCGCCATCGCACTCGTCTAACTACAGCCCTGCTTATGTACAGTTTCACCATGAGCAGATACACACTGACGCTTCTTGTTCCTTTCTTCTTCAAGACAGTTGCTACAGTATGTTTTGGGTTTTTTTGTTATTTTTCCTGGTAGTAATTTCAACAGACACAAAGCTGCCTGACAGATCAAACTTTTCATATGTAACGTTGCAGGCTTCCCCCAGGCAGATTCAGCTCTCGTTTCTCTGGTTAAGGAAGTGAAATTTGCATATCAGCTCCAGATCACCTGCCAAAGAGTCTTTTGTACTGAGCCTTTCACATGGACTTTATTTCGTTACTGAGGGTACAAGGCCTTTTTACAGTACAAAATCTTTTTTATCCTTTAATTAAAAGCCAAGTTTTGTCTAAGTGTTAGATTGCTTATTCTTTGTAGTGCACCTCAGAGAGGAAAGGGGTGCATACCGGGTGTCGCTGAAGAGCTGAAAACAGTTACAGAGACAGGAAACTGTTTCAATAGAGGCGGGCTTCCCCTTTCTGTGCTCCCACACAGCAGGCGTGAAGGATTATTTAAGATTACCAAGCGTCTATGTGATCCGCTGTGAGGGCCCATTGCCAGTAATTTATTCAGTGCTGCCCAGTGGGTATTGAAGGAGGTGCAGGATGAAGCGTATTTGTGTTTCTCACTGTCAGTTACTCCCATGAAAATGCTTTCTAATTCTGACGCTTTGTACAAATTAAATCAGCTGAACAAAATATAACATTTAGTCTTCTTGCTAACACGATGAATTACTTCTACTGCTTATCTGGTGTAAGCATTGCCATTGAATGCTACCAAAAGAAGCCAAAACTACGGATTATATAAAAGGTGTTTGTAGCCACCATGACATCATTTCCTTTTTTTGAAACAATCTTTTGAAACCGGATGTGACGAACGAGAGCTGATTTGAAACTTTGCATTCATTGGCTTATGACTTGTCAATAATTTGTCATTGCCGTTAGCCAATGTGTATCCTAGATACACCTTGGACTGACCAAAATGTATAAAATGGACCCGATGTTTTGTTTTATCCATTTATGGTACTTTCACCTCCTTCAAACCTGACACATATGGGGACTGCATTAGCTTATAGTCCCTTGAGGCTGGGTTTTATTCTCAAACGGTGCATCTTTCACATGTAAGGCGATTATGTTAACTGCTACGCTGTTGAACCACTCTCTCTTATTCAGTATGATCCAAAATGAGTAACTCAGCCTATTTAAGCTCTTCCAGAAACTGTTTACACAGGACAACTCCAAAGGCTGTTACCCCATAGGTGGTCTTTTCAAGCAGAGAAGTCCAACCCCAATGGCCATGAAAAAGGGTGGCCATTTAAGGCACTTCCCTATTGGTTTGTTAGTCTGCCGTTACCATGAGCCTGTTAAAGTGCTATAAAACATGCTAAACATAGACATTTTTTTAAAAAAGAGGAAGGATAAGCATCAACATAGCTACAGTTATAAAACAACCAGGTTGATATAAATAGAGTCTGAACATTTATAATATGTGGATTTACTTTTCGAGATTAGTGCACCACATCAACTGCTAGTATCTCCTGTCCAAATGTCGTCTACATTTTGATAGAAACCAAGAATTTTGGCCTTGTAACCGGTTGTAGGTTAAATGCATTGTTAGTTTTTTCACGGGACTTGCTGACAGTAAAAATATACCTGAACCAGCCTGATCCTTTAAAAGCCTTGTGTCCTCAGCGATGCGCTGTGGACTAATCCACTCCTGGGAGGAAGTCCTCTGGTCTGAAATTCCTGTTTAAGTGACTTGAAATGAACTCGCTGCGAGGAACTGGAACTACTGGACAACACGCCTTTTCTGACTTTAGGAGCAGCTTGTGAAGGAAATAATGAACTAACATTTATAGAGAGCTCTCAGGGATGGGCCCTGTCTACATGTGCAGTAGTAAAAATTAGTTTCTGAGTTGTGTTTTTCCCTTTTTTTCACACAAAAAACTTAAATGGAAGCTTTTTAAAACCTCCGTCCACAGTAAAGACTCTCAATAGGGAAACAGGAGGAAAAGGTGTGCGCCTTTATTTCCTTTTTTGACAACAGGCTGGCTTCTAATTGGCCAGCATTCCTGTACAGTTAGGGTCACTTGTTGCGATTATGTCAAGCACCCTTGACGTATTTCTTTTTTGCATTTTTGTGTTACGATTTTTTTTTCTGAACAAAAGCAAAAAATTCCAGTTTTAAAAGAACATCCATGTACGTGTGGACCGGGCTACAGTTTGTGCTGCAAACATCTTTGTTGTGTGTCTCAGATCAGGGTGAAACTCATTGACAAAATAAACCTAAGTGCAATTTAAGCAGATTTAAGAAGACAATCTTGAGTTAAACTTTATTAGAAAAACAGCGGGAGCAAAGTCAATTATTTTTCTACAGAGGTTGTAATCCCTCCGCAATGACATGCTTGGTATTGATCAAGTAGATGATGCATTGTACTTGACTGAATTGTTGGATTTTTATCTATTTTTTAAAGTGGAATGATGTTTAAAGGGACAGAGTCTGAATAATTTTAGTGCTAATATATTGTAGTATTTCTTCTCTCCGTGTGTGGAAGACTGTAGGACTTGATGTAATTTCAGGGACCACTTAATATGTTAAATTAGACAAATCATTAAATGCATAGTTTGTTTCTCAATTAACAGTTTTAACTTTTTTTTTAAGAATATATATATATATATATATATGTCATCCATGTCCGTTGTTATCCAAACTGCTTTTTGCTTTGTTTCTTAACCATCTTTTGCTATTTTAGCCTTTTATTGTCTTTTTTTTCCACTCATTTTGCCATCATGTAGTCAAAAACATCTAAACTTCAAAGTCCACTTGATCAAAAGTAAAAGTGCTGACACACAATCAGCTGGCTTAAATCATCGATCAAGGCAAACTACTAGCGCAGCTGAAATGTATTTTGTACTTTAAACATCTTACGAAGTAGGGTTTATTAATGTCCCAATAAAACATCTTCATAGTAAATCAGTCGGTGACAGATGTGTTTCATTTTTTTTAAAATTTTTTTATCGAGGATAAAACTGCATCGTCTCGTCTGCTGCTCAGGCCAGCAGGAGCCCGAGCGCAGGCAGCAGGCAGAGCACCACTCCCACCAAGCTGGGGGCAGTAACGGACACGGCACCGTTGCACAGGTCGGTATCGCAGCACACGTTGGTGTAGTTGAAGGAGACCCCTGACGTGTATTTCTCTCCACTCACGTCGCACTGGGAGGCAACTGCGCAGCTTTTTTCGTACAACGTCAGCTGTAGTGGGCCTGTGAGAGCAGAGGAGTAGAAGGATATTATTATTGTTATTATTATTCGCATGGAATTTAAAGAGCATTCAATCCTTTTTCTACACTTTTAATGGTTCTTGACACAGGACACTGTGCCTTTTTAGGACTAGTTCACTCAGCAAGTGTCGAATGCGAGGAAAAAAATATTTGATGCACTGATTAAGTATTATGTTTCCAAATGTCTCTCAGTTTTGGAAATTTGCATCTATTTGGACTCAAGGATGATCTGATTTTGTGAAAATCTGAATGTCAAAGGTCACAACAACCTAACAAAGCATGCGTTTAACCAGAACTCATGAATTCATAAATCTGTTTTGTCAAACTTTCCCACCAAAATATAACAGAATGACGTTTTATATCCTCATTTCTCAGCAAATCCAATATATTTTTCAATTAATTGTTATATAACATAAATGGAATCATGACTAATTGAGATGATATGTGTTTATGCTTAAATAGATACTGAAGTGTATTGTGTTTTAAATTTAACATTATGAATGCTTCAAAAACAGTGAAAGCAAAGAAAACTTTGAATGCCTGATTAGTTTTACTTCTTGATTTTTTTTTTTGCACCTGGATGTTAGCAATATAGACTCACCAGACACTTCATTAGGTATACCTGTCCAGCTGCTCGTTAATGCAAATCTCCAATTAGCCAACTGCATGGCAGTAAGTGACATAGTTGTTGGTGCCAGGCAGTCTTATCTTAGTGTTTCACAAACTGGTGATTTGCTGGGATTTTCCCACACAACCATCTGCAAGGTTTACAGAGAATGGCCGGAAAAGATCAATTGTTCAGTGAGCAGCAGTTTTCTGGGTGAAAATGCCTCATAGAGACCAGAGGCTACACTGAAGGAATCCATCTTTCCTTGTATTTATGGTTCAGGTTGCTGCTGGCGGTGGTGCAGTAATGTAGGAGATATTTTACCAGCTCATTATTGTCTAAACACCATATTGTTCCCGAGTATTGTTGTTAACCACGTCCATCCCTTTATGCCCACAGTGTACCAATGTTTTGATGGCTGCTCCCAGCAGGATAATGCACCATGTCATCAAATCATCTCAAACTGGTTTTTGAACATGACACCGAGCTCACATTACTCATATGGAACGAGCGACTTTCATCACGAATATTTAGCCGACAAATCTACAGCAACTGTGCGACGCTATCATGACAATATAGCGTATATGGACCAAAATGTCTGAGGTATTTTTCCAAAAGCTTGCTGAATCTATGACACAGAGATTTAAGGAAGTTTGAACAGCAAAAGGAGATCAAAGCAAGGAACTAGCAAGATGTGCATAGTGGAGTGGCCAGTGAGTGTAGGAAATCCAAAACTCAAAAAACAACAAGATATAAACAGAAAGGATAGCAGAGTCCAAAAACTGCAGTAGAATGAAGTACAGTAAAACAAGAGACAGCAGATTATTTATTCAGACTCTTCATCAAGCAAGCAAATTTAACTAGTTCCTCACTGGGATTGTTTTAAAATTACTCATACTGCAAACTGAGAGTAATTGTGGGAACTTTGTCCCCTGATGAGACATGGTGATCATTTTTGCCCCACCCAGATAGCCCGGAGTGTTATTTTTAGACATAATTTGACATCACGGGTGCTATTGAGCTGACAACCGGCCTGATGAGAAAATGGTACAGAAGTTTGAGTCATTCTTTCACCTTGTTTTGTTTTCACATTTAGGTCACTGACGAAAGACAAGGCCCTGAGAAGCAGTTCAAAGAGCAGCCTACAAAGACATGAAACAGTCCTTATTGTATAGTTTATGTATGATATGTGACCACAAGCTAAAAGGTTTGGTTTATAAAAAGAACTTTAGACTTGGTCCTAATAGTGTCTTTATTGTCTGTTCACTGTAATGTGCATTTCTAAAAATGTTTCTCACAAATCTTTTGTAAAATAAGGCTTTATTTTCCCGTTTGTGGCGATCATGCTTGAGACTCACTGAAATTAATCTAATCTAATAAATGCAGACAAATCTGGGTCTTACCTCGTGTTCCTGTCGCTACGCTGGAGAGGCAGCGCTGGCCAGCTGGACACTCCACAGGAAACTTTAAGCAGTCCAGAGGAGAGATGGATGGAAACATACAGGTGTAACAGCGCAAACAGGCTGAGGGGCAAAAACGGTGGTTGTTAGGCACTGTCAGCTGTACAGCTCTGGCAGGGATTGCAACAACAAGAGCTTAAAACTCCAATATTGTATCAGCTGACAGTCACAACATAAAAGATTTAGCTCTGAAACATGATATTTGCGAACTAACAGTAACTGCAATTATGTTTGTTTCCACAAGAAGCCAAATTGTTTCGTAGAAGATGAATGCATATTTTGATGTTGAAAAATAGACTTGTTGGTGCCCCCTGGTGGAATATCTTTGTAATTGAGACACTTTTTAACTTCTCTTCTAACATTGGCTTCTCTGCACTTCAGCAACATCTGATAATTACTTTTCTATCACCGACTCGGCAGACAACTGTCATAACAGAAACTCTAAGTACTTTTCATTTACTAGCTATACATTTTATGATGCCAACATGTTTCTATTCATAAGACAACAGTAAAAACACTGTAAAATGGGTTAAAGGTTACACTCTCTTTACTTTTCGTATTTCCAAGTGTACGATATGTACACAACAAATGTAAATATGCAAACAGCGCACTGCAAAATTACATTGGCAAGCAGCTTTAAGACAGCATAAGCAGAAGTCATGTGTCCTTCCTTCTGCATGTTCTACCACCCTTCACCAGAGTTATTGAGTATATGATTAAAGATGTACACTTGTAGTTAAGTAAGTTATTGTTATGATAATATTTCATTTTGAGTTTATGTTATATTTATGAGTAAAATTAGTCAACTTTAAATTAAAATAGTCAAACTCATTAGAAAAAAAGCCTGACATTGGAGAATAAATATGAAATGTTTGTTTATAATTCACTTTTAGTTTAAAAATATCAGAGTACTTGTAGATTTTACATTTAACTCAAGTCAGCACCTTTTAAACTCTTCACATGTTGTGTACGATAAAGTTTAAATATGTAACTAAAATTGTAACTAAAGTAAGTGTGTTATGGGGTGACTGTAGCTCAACAGGTACAGCGAGCCATCTACTAACTGGGACATTGGTGGTTTGATTGGCAGCTGCTTCAGTCTCAGTGCCAAAACGTCCTTGAGCAAAATACTGAACCAAGTTGCTCTTTGTTGCAGTCCAGTCCAGTCACATAAGAAAAATTAAAAACACTACCGACAACAAATCCAACATACTGAACTTACTTGAACGGATTTCTTCAACAATCTACACTATTTGAATCAAACTACAGTAGTGGAATATAAGCATACACTACAAATCTCCACTGTGTAGTATTTCCTGGCCAAAAGAGCTTCCTAATTAAAGGGATAAAACTCTCTTTATGTGAAAAGTATACCTGAACTCATCAAATCAAGCATGTTAGCATCCATCATTAATCATTTTTCCTGTAACAGGAGATCTTGCACTAAAATGCATTAAAAATATGTCAGCTTTAAGAGAGTCAAATCTCAAATGTGCATGCAGAAAAATGTCAAACATCACAGAGTTTTGTTTCCACCGACCAAGCTCTGCAGACTTTGTCCCTCTCACTGACTTAAGTAATGGATGTCCAGTATTTAAAAGTATTAGATTTTTTTCCCTTACATTACAAAAGCACCTGAAGACAATTGAATGTTTTTACATACCTGCCAAAGGAAGACAACACATGAGAATAAATAAAAGTTGTGAACGAGGCATGATGCTTCCTTAAAAGTCCCTTGGTTGATGTTTCGAGCTGGATTTTTCTAAACACTTCTTGTCCCAGGGCGTTACGACTCCCTAACTAGTTTATGTGGTGCGTCCCCCAGCTCATTTGCAAATTACATTTATTTTCATCTCTGTTTCTCTCTATGTCCCCAATGATCTGATAAAAGGCGCCTCTTTATATCGCAAGCACCCGCGTGTCACCTGAGTTTTTCCCTCAGTCTTTGCTGATTTGTGCTGTCATGAGGCGAACTCCTCCCTGAAACTTCTAATTCAATCTGGAGAGTTAATTGTGGACAGCATGGTTACAGGCAGTGGGAAAATGAAGAGTTATATAGTGAATTTGGTGAGTGTTTATATACTAACGATGCTCAGGAAGCTTTTGACAAGAACAACATCTTCACTCATTCATTCAGTGACTGCTGGTTGCAGGCATTTGTCTCTCTTGTGGTTCTGCCGCAGCATTTCAGTCAAGTTAAGGTCTGGACGCTGACTGGGCTATTTCATCACCTTGATTCATTTTTGTTTTGTTTTGTTTTGTTTTTAGCCTTTCTGTTGTCTAAGGAGTTTGGAAAGCAAAGCGTCTGGACTTCTTTAATTTTCTTGAAGACATTTCACCTCTCGTCGAGAAGCTTCTTCAGTTCTAAGAGCAAATGGTAAAGAGTCCCAGATTTTTAAGCCCTATGGGAGTGTCCTCCAAGAGGGTAATGAACTGCCTATATCGCACGAGCCAAGGTGTGAAAACAGATGTGGGTCACAATCAGCCAAGGTTTCAGGTGAACCCATTGGGAAACCTAGCCTTTCTGTTGTACTTGGGATCATTGTCCTCTTGCACAACCCAATTTCAGCCAAGCTTTAGCTGTCAGAGCAATGGCCTCATATTTTACTACTTTAATACTTTGGTATATAGAAGAGTTGGGTTGCAAAACAAGCTCAACTCATCATCCTTCCACCACCATCCTTCACAACTAGTATGACCCTGTGACCCTGTGCATCATGGCCAAACATCTCCACTCTGGATTCAAAGACATTGATCCAGAAATCTTTTGATTTGTTCAGATGTAACTTTGCAAACCTAAACTGTGCTGTCCTCAGTCAGGACTCTGTAGGAATTTGTGGGTTTTTTCTGACCTTGTGGTGAATTTTCCGCGTTCACACAGAAGACACACCTGACCAACAGACCAGCAAACTGCCAAAACAGCTTTTTGTAGAGATGCTTACAGTTGCTGATGATCAGTTACCAAGTCCATTTGATGATTAGCAAACTGAGTGCTACTTTTAATTGCACAAGGAAGCTGTCTGAGAGTTCTCACCTTAGAAAAGTTTTTCACAGTTAATGCAGGTCCCACAATAAAACCCTGCAGGACTGATTTAGTTAGCTCAAAATCAGTTTTATGGACCATTGTGTGGATATAATTAGTTATAAACTGGTTGTTTTCTTGCCGTACTTGTGTGTATAAATAGGTTTTTTTAAAAGCCTAATTTTCCTGTCAAGTTGTAATATATTTTTATGTGCAGTGTCATAAATTGCGCGGTTTGCGAGCATGCAACTGCTAAAAAAAAACATTTGAAAAAAACTGCAATAAAAAGGGGGGAAAGGGTTTCTTAAGAAATATAATGTGAAAACTTAAAGTTTTTAGTGATTTTGTTTTGTTAAATACTCTTTGTCATCTAGCTCCATAATTCTTGTGCCAGTTTTGTTTAGTTAGAAATTCTGGCCTCTATCTGAGCCATTTATAAAAGAAAAGACATTATGTGTAACTGCATGAGACAGCAGCTGCTGTAGAGAAAAGATGAGCACCGATAAAGTCAGCACGGTGCAGAAAGAGTCAGCAGACAAACAGAGGGAGAAAGCCAGCAACTCAGAGACAGCGGGTCAGTGAGCTCCACAGCGAGCCTGTTTAAACAAATTATCCTTCAGGGCCTAATGGGAGACGTGAGGGCAGCAAGCAGGACGGTCTGCTGACAGCAAGTCTTGTGATGGAGCGAAACGAGTGGGCTCAGACTGAATAAGCTCTTTACAAGTTGATTAATTACAAGCTTAAAAAAAATCTTCCTGGAAATATTGAGGTTTTTGTTCATTTCTCTTGTATTTTTTCAGTTACTTTTGTCTGGATGCAATACTGTATGCAGAAATAATCCATGGGCATTGCTGAGGCATAAATGACATTGAGAGTTTATGACCTGTGATGCATTTTGGAGGCATGTATGTTTGCTGCTAAAGCAATAGATTTTTGCATGGAGTTTGGTGTGACTTTGTTTCTGTCCATTTGTGTCTTTATTAAATGATTTGCATATAACCTACAAAAGAATCCCCAGAACTAGTGCCAAATAAAAGTATTATGGGATTAAAGGTCCTTTTCTTTTGTTCAAATAAGCAAGCATTCATGTTGTAAAACTTAAAAATACAAGCCTAAAGCGACTCACAACTGAGTCCATTCATGTTCGTGCAGACAGTGTTAATCCTGCATTTGATGGGGATGTTTTTTTTGTGTGTCCTGGCTGAAGGATCTCAGTGGACAGATGGTGTTCTTTAATCCTGTCTGTCTGTGCCCTCTACCTCCCATCCTCCACCCTTTTTTACATCTATTCATTCTGCCGTTTACATCCAGGTTCTCATTTTCAGCCTCTTCTACACACTGGAGACGAGCTCCTGCAGCTTCCCTCGTCTTCCTCGTTGCAGCAGAAAATTTGGCTCCTGGTCCTCCTTCTGCAGTAACTCAATCTAGTCACTAGAAGGAAATATTGTGCAGCCTTGTTAGACAGAAAAGTCACATGTTTACAGAAGGCCTGCATGTTTACATCACCTCTGAACATCACCAGTTTCTTTAGAAATACTGGATTATTAATTATAAACACAAATCATGGGTAGTTTTTCAGAGGTGGGGTGTCTGATGGGACAACCTGTTAATCCAGCAATCACATCACTGACCCACTTTGAGGAAAGCCAGATTATTTTATTTATTTATTTATAAATAAGTAAATAAGTAAAATGTCAGGAGGATAAAAACAAAGATGGCTCAGTAATTCAGCATATAAATCTTTGATTCGCTTTCAGACAGACCACATTTATATTTGTATATAAAGCACAAGCCTGACCCTTCATAAACAATTCATCAGGATTACAGCAGGGATGGGAGAGGGGGAAAGGGGGAGTCCATAATCCTAGAAAAATCTGACTTTAATTCTGTGTTTTAATGCGTAGGAGCACCAGTGTGGCAAAAATAGGAATTTTCTGGGCATTTTTCAACAAGGCATCCGCCTAATGTTATATTAGTCTAAATTACGCATTTGTTAGTAACACCAGATAGGTTGAACAAGTATTCTAAATGTAGCAATTACGTAGGTTAGCAGTAACGGCGGTCACAAATGTACTCACAAATTAAGAATATGTTTATATTAACTTCAAACAAATTAAATTCTGTTTTGTTAACGAACTCGAAACCAGTGTAAATTAAATTAAAACGGTAGTAACTTTGCAATGCAGTTGCCACTAAAAGTGCAAGCGCCAGAACAGCAGCGCCTGCGATAAATCACCGCTGATTGAATCCGGGTAGGACGTGTGGGGGATGGGGAGGGGAGGTGGTGGGGGAAGTGAGCGTCAATGGTCGAAAATAAGACCGGAAGTTCCTTGGGGGTGGCGTTAAAAACTATGAGCACGACCGTTGGCAAATTATTATTTTTTTCAGTTACAGTGTATACATAGTGTATACACACTATCGAGCGCTATTTTATCGCGCGCTATTTTTTGTATAGCAGTTGCAATATGGTACAAACGACGCGACACAGTTCATGTAAACCAATGCTGTCTTATTTTGAAATTTGCCACCGGAAACATGCCAATTCACGTTCGCCGTCTTGACGCGATAGCCATTCGGCAGAGAGAAAGGAGCTGGAGAGTAACGGGAACTCGGCTGCTTTGGAAATTAAATTAAAATAGAGGGAAAACGGCGACGAAAGCGGATACCCGGGACCTAAAACAGGTGAGCAGGCCTAAGTGTAGAGCTCTGTTTGTTATTTGTGCGACTCGGGGTGAGGGTGTTGCTGTTATTTTGCCGATTTAAGAAAGATGGGGAACATCATGAAAAGTATTTTGGAAGAGAGTTGAGTTGCTGGGGCGGTGCACTCCTGCAGCCCCACAGCCTCAGGATGTTTTGTTCTGCTTGTGGTTGAAGTTTGTACTGATTAATACAGCTGGTAAAACTCAAACAAAAGCTATACGAGGTAGAAAAATTCAACATATAAGTAGTGATTATAATGTAGTTTGTAAATATTCGGTGTTCAAGTATCCATTAATATTCTCCATGTGCTGCAGCCTTTTAAAACAAAGTCAAGTGAACATCAAAGCCCAGCACTTGTTGCATAAGTTATGAAGCAGATTTAAGAAACATCCTGTGTGCAGCTCACCGTGGGTGACTCCTGCCAGTTACAGGGAAGATGATAAAAGGGCAATTGTCCCAAATCTAACCCACTGGCCAGATATGAAGAGGCTTTGCAGCATATTGGAGGGCTATTGAATAATGATTCCTTATAATCTGACCTTGAACAAAGCTCCTTTGTCTCCTTTCAGCCGTGCTCTTTGTCTGTGTATTATTTCAGCTGTCCTTGGATGTTTTAATGGGGGATAAACTATGTTTTTTTTTATTCCCCTACAGAGTAAATAAATTACAGATTTTTAGGACTATATTTCACTTTAGTCCAGTGCCAATGAAAGCATGTAGGCAGGGATGTGACCCTCTAATGTTTTATAGAAATTGATATTTTTGTTTGTTCTTGCCTTGATGTATCCATCTTTTTCTTTCTTAGGCTGGTAGTATTTGCTTCCCATGTTTGGGATAATAGATGGTGAAGTCCCTAATTAAAGAAGAGGCAAAGACCAGGCTGAAGATGCTTCCCATTCTCTTCCTGGATCTACTTCTTCACAAGCTTAGCTTAGTTTAGAGCATTTTTCCTCCAGCGTCTTAATAATACCGAGACTGCAAGAGAGAAGACCAGAAACACATAAACGTTCACATCCTTTTATTGCCTCTTGTTCCTCTCCTGGCAGAGCCAGCTTAGTGAGATTTTTGGCACAGCCCCAATATTTGCTACCACATTATTGAAACCATGGCAAACATGTGCCCTTATGGCCATTTCACCCACGCCGTGGTGAGGGGCATTCCAGAGACCTTTGGAAAGAAAGCAGGGGACAGCCAGGAGAACGGGGAGGT